TTACACGGCAATATTTCGGCAATATTAAGGCAATTTTGTTTGACAAAATAGGGCAATATTGCTGTAAGATTGATTATTATGTTCGTCCTGTAACGAATTAAATATTGACCGACAATATTTTGTCAATATTCGTCAATATAAGTAATAGCAATATATGTCCGCCTTGCGGCAAAATTTAGGCAATTTTTTTTGGCAATATTTCGGCAATATTGTCGTAATATTGATAATGTCCGTTCTGCGGCAATATTTGGGCAATACTACGTGGAAATATTTAGTCAATATATTGTTGTAATTTTAATCTTTGCGGCAATATTCCTCTAATATTATGAACATGTTTTTCTGAGGCAATATATTGTTTGGCAAAATTAGGCAAAATAGGATGGCAATACATATTCGGCAATATTTTTCTACTATTATATATATATATATTTCAATATTAGCCAATTTTATTTGGCAATACTAGGGCAATATTGTTTGGCAATACTAGGCAATATTGCCTAAATATTGGCAAGAAATATTGCATTATATATTGCCAAACAATAATGCCTAAATATTGCCGAAAAATATTTAGTCAATATTAGGGAATATTGCTGTGTAATATTGATTATATTCGTTCTGCAATGAATTAAATTTTGCCCGCCGACAATATTTTGGCAAAATTCGGCAATATATGTTCGCCCTGCGGCAAAATTTAGGCAATTTTTTTGGCAATACTTAGAGGCAATATTGTCGTATAATATTGATAATGTCCGTTCTGCGGCAATATTTGGGCAATACTACGTGAAAATATTTAGTCAATATATTGCTGTAATTTTAATCATGTCCATATCTTGCGGCAATATTCATGTTTGTTCTGCGGCAATATTGTTTGGCCAAATTAGGCTAAATAGGATGGTAATACTTATTCGGCATTATTTTCGTAATATATATATGTATATATTTCAATATTAGACAATTTTGTTTGACAATACTAGACAATATAGCCTGGAAATATTTCGGCAATATTGTCTAAATATTAAGGCAAGCTATATTGCCTAGTATTGCCAAACAATATTGGCAGGCTATATTGCCTAGTATTGCCAAACAATATTAGCAGGCTATATTGCCTAGTATTGCTAAACAATAATGCCTATAAATATATTGTCGTAGGGTAGACATAAGGATTAATATTACAGTATATAATATTGCCAAGAAATATTGTCGAAGGACAGACATATATATAATCAATAAAATATTACAACAATATATTGCCCTATATTGCCAAACAAAATTGCCTAAATATTGCCGAAAAATATTTAGGCAATATTAGGGAATATTGCTGTCTAATATTCATTATTTTCGTCCTGCAATGAATTAAATTTTGCCCGCCGACAATATTTTGGCAAAATTCGCCAATATATGTCCTTGCTGCGGCAATATTTGGGCAATATATTGCTGTAATATTGATTACGTCAGTTCTGCAGCGAATTAAATATTGCCCGACAATATTCAGGCAATATTGCTGTAACATTGTGATTATATATATCCCTCGTGCGGCAATATTTTTGGCAATATTGATACACTTTTGTTATCCTCCTGATATTTATGTTATCAGTTTGATATACTTTTAAATCAATTTTCCTATAATTGTTAGATTATCAATTAATAATTTAAAAAATAAAATTTTTTTCTACAGTTAACTATACGACAACTATGGATGCGCGATGAAAAATAAGTATATTGGTCCACCGAAAAGCAATTGTCTTGCGCGCGAATTTTCAATACGCGCGCGGTTTTCACAATCTATATATATATATATATATATATACATATACTATATTGTATTGTAGCCTCTCCTAACTCCCTTTTTATTCAGTAAAATAGGGGAGGATTTTCACTAAAGTGGGGATAGGACGTACTACGTTTCTCCTTCCACTGCGCGAATTCTTATGCTCTCGGCACATATATCCCCACTTCTGTCGACAATTTGATAAAGAGAAAATTCTCTGCGGTTGAAATGTGCTGCCATCTAAGCGGGGAACTTATTTTTCTCCCAAGTTTCCATTGCGTTCTTGGAAACTGAAACTATAGCCATTGACCGCGTCTGTTTTATAGAGTCGCGCTTCGAAAACTATTGTCCGCGTATTTGATACTTATACTATATATATATATATATATATATATATATATATATAATTTTCTTAATTTAAGAAAATTTTTACTTATATTTACTTTACATTTTCTTGGATCAAGAATATTTTTGATTCAAATACTGACGCAGATTTTTGATTCAGTATACTAGTTTTTTTTTGCAGTGTATTTGTTTTTTGTTAAATGCCTTATTTATAATTATTATAAATACCGTGGTTGTTTTACAATTTCCGTCCAACAAGATACATTTCCTTCCAGTTTAACTATAAGAAATACCGTGGTGTTGTTCCAATTTCCGTCCAACTATGATTCATATATATCACTGAAAAAATTATATTCTAGATTTGAGAATTTCTTCTTAAATATAGGCGCCAAGAATATTCCCCACTTAAAGTAAGTGCGGGAAATATTCTTACAATAAGTATAATATATTCTTAATATAAGAATATTTCCCACTTATACTTTAAGTAAGGAATATTCTTGGCTCCTATTTAAGAAAAAATTCTTAAATCTAGAAATTTTTTCAGTGTATACTTTCCGTCCAGTTTAATTTTTAAGATAATTTTTTTTTTTTTTTGTTTTTACTTGAATTAACAAGTAAATTTAAATTATACGAGATATTTGTAAAAATATACGGCTTTTGGAACTGGAAAAATAAGGGTAATAATTATTTAATAAATATTTTATTTGATAATAGTCAATAGTAACGAATTATTTTGAAAGAAAATAAATTTTTTTTCAGTATACTATTTTATTCACTATAGTTACTATAAATTTTTTTTTTTTTTTACTAAACAGAACAAAACTGTCAGTTAACAAAATAAACGAGAAAATAAATATATATTCTAATCACGAGAAGTTTCCGCACGATTGGAATAAGTAGTATGACTCAAAGAGATGAATCGAAAGTAGTGAAGATCAACGCAGTGATAACATTAGTTAATAGTCAGACCTAAATGATTATGTCTTAATTCTAAAAATTAGCTAAAAATTCTTCAATTTCAATAGTTTCAAAAAAAAAAAAAAAATTGTTTCTAACAAAACTTTTAATAGTTTCAATAAAAATAGTTTTTAACAAGATTTCAATATATAGTTTAATAAACAAAATTCCAATAGTGTTCGTTTGAAAAAAAATAGTTGTATAATAATATATAACCGTATCAGGAAGAAAGTAAAATATAAAGTAAATTTATAATACATATATATATATATCTATAGGCATTTTCATCTTGTTATTCGTTGAAAACTTGCAAGCCCCATTACATGAGAAATATATATATATATATTTCCTCTTTTCTAGTCCATACAAATTTTCGGCAAGTCGTTTCTGAGAAAGCTGAACAGGGTGTGTGGCAAGCCAAGTAAGAGTATTACCCATGAACATACGTGCGGTGTAACTCAACATGCACATTCGTGTTAAAGCACACCAACATACGCATACAGTAACACATATACATTTATAGAGTCACACACATACAGTAACACATATAGTAACACAGATAAAGTAACACATACATTTATAGAGTCACACACATACCGTTGCACATATAGTAACACACATATAGTAACACATACAGTAACACATACAGTAACATATATAGTAACACATACAGTAACAAATACAGTAACAAATTCAGTAACAAATACAGTAACAAATACAGTAACTAATACAGTAACACGTACAGTAACACATGCAGTTACGCATATAGTAACACACATACAGTAACACAAATACGGTAACACACATATAATAACATGCAGTTAATACACATAAATAGTTACAAATATGTATATAGTAACATAGTTACACACACACACACATGCAGAACTACAGGAACACACACTCACACAACTTTATGTAACCAGTCTTTACGATCTTCACATATATACAAGAAGCTCAGGCAGCATTCAAGCTCACGCGCACACTCACACGCAGAACCATATACTCTCGCCCTCTTGAAGGCAGTGTGTAGACTACGGTGTTAACAAACGGTACACTAATGTTTCACATCTCGGTGTGCTTCTCTCTCTCTCTCTCTCTCTTCTCCTTCTCCCTTATAACACTCGGTATGTCGTGGTCGTCGTCGTCGTCGTCGTCGCGTCGAGCAAAATCGCCAAGTAGTAGCACCGACTTGTGCATTGCAGTTATACAGAGAAAGAGATAGCGAGAGAAAGAGGAGGGGTGGGTCGACACCTCTCGTTTGTGGAGAGGTGGAGAGACGCGTCAGAAGGCGTGACTAATTTTGTTCGCGCCCACGGAGGGGAAAAAACCAAAGCTCCACTCGGTTTATGCAAAAGGGGGAGAGAGAGTGAGAGAGAAGGGGGGGGGTGACATAAAAGAATTCTGGAAGGGATACCTCTCTCTCTCTCTCTCTCTCTGCGATTCATCCGTTTATGTGACACGAGATCGCCACTTCCCCGACTTGCCTCAATCGGCGCATTTTGACAAAACTATCGAATCGTGTCGTCTGGGGAAAAAGAGATCCCTCTTATCTGCATTCATCCCTCTTTTTTTTTATCACTCCGCCCCAATCACCGCCCCTTGAAATTAAAAATTAAAAAAATCGTAAAAATTAAAAATCTCAACATGGAAAAAAGAGAAGAATTTTTTCAAGAAGAAGGTAATATTGAACAAACTACAGGAAAGAAGGTCGCCGTCGGCTAAACTTTTTTGAAATTGAACTAAAATTGTCGTGTAGTTTTTGTCATTAACCCCCCCCCCACCCCGTCTACATTCTCTCTCTCTCTGACAAAATCTTGAGAAACAGTAAAAGTGGGGATAGACAAGGGATGTGGCTGGTCAGGCCAACTCACCATATTTTATTGTCGCGTTTTGCCGGTGCTAACCGATGTCGTGTGCTGACTGAAAACGCGCATACATATAATACAAAACTGAAGAGAAAGGGAGAGCGCGACAACATAAAGAGAAAATAGAGAGGGGAGAGAGAGAGAGAGAGTAAAACGTGAAGCATGGAGGTGGCACCCGATCCCCACCCCGTCGAATTCTGGACCCTCCCATCTGACAGAAGAGGGCAAACCATCTCGACAAAAATCAGCCCCTTTTCCCAGGAAGGAAAAGAACAACGACGACAACTGCCACCTCCACTTACTACCACCATCATTGGCAGTTTCTCTCTCTCTCTCTCTCTCTCTTTCCTACCGATCAGGAAATTTAGGTTCTTTGGATTCTCTTATACTATGGTGGCAACGTGCGAGAGAAGCAACATACCACGAACCCTACCAAGTGTCCGATTGCCGCGCCGCCCCCTTTACGAGGGGGAAAAAAAAAAAAAAAAAAACTTCACAAGAGGGAGCCAACGAAAGAAAGAGAGGGAATGACTACTACTGGACATCAGAAAGAGAAACTAGAGAGTGAGAGAGAGAAACACAAGTGCCACCGCGTTACACGCCGCGCCACGGTCGACAACGAGCCACGCCAGTTTGTACTTGGCGCCCTTCACGAGAGTCTCCAACCGGAGGTTGCTCTCCCGAGAAATATCCGACGGCAGCCAAAAACAAATCGCGTGTTTTGAAAAAAAAAAAAAACTGTGACTATTTCTAAATATCAACGAAAATTTCTAATCTGCGCACACGCTTTTCTTTCCTCTCTTTCTCACTCATCTTCTCCCTCTCTCTTTCCTACCTAACCCCCTCCCTCTCTTCGTCATTCACTCTCTCTCTCTCTTCTCGCCGGAGGCCGGACTGAATTCCGTCGAAAAGAAACGGAGGACGATAGTCGCGACCGATCATAGCTGGCGCGTCGATCGGATCAGCCCAGGGACTCACAAAGGGGACTCCACCCGACAATTTACAGTCTCAAAAATCCCTAAGAGTGTCAAACATTTTTTTTAGTGAATCCTGTGTTCTCCAAATTTGGAGAAAAAAAAAAAACAGTGATTTTTGTGTTGGAAAAATAATGTGTGCCGGAAAGTACTAATTGGATAGATATATATATATATATGGGCCACCTGTTTTGTGAATGTATTGCATTAGTGAATCTCAGTGGAACTGCGCAGACAAATATATAAGTGACCCTTGTTTTTGTTTTCCATTTTGTTTTCATTTTTTTCTTTGTGATTAGTGTTTGTGATTAAAAGAGATATTGATCAAGTGGAACAATGATTGCGTAGCGGTTTTAGAACATCACGGCCCTGAGAGGCCGACACATCATGTCACAGTTCTCCTTCAGAGGATCACCAAATTTACAGGTTAGTTGTGATCGATAAATAGGTTAGAGGATTACTAAAATGCGTGCGAGACAAGTTGTAATGGAAATTTTGATGATTCATTAATTATTATATATCAGTGCTTCGAATAGTTTGATTTTAAAATCTTTATAGGGTTTCAAATATCTGCGTAGCTGTATATGATTTTAAAATCTGCGATATAGTTTTTAAATCTGTATGGCTTTTAAAATCTGTAACTGTATGATTTCAAAATCTGTATAGCTGTTTGATTTTAAAATCTGTAGCTGTATGATTTCAAAATCTGTAACTGATTGTTTTTTAAAATCAGTATTAGCTATATGATTAAAAAATCTGTATGGTTTCAAAAATCTGTAGCTGTACGGTTCCAAATTCTGTAGCTGTATTATTTATATTCAAAATCTGTTGCATATCGTTTCAAAATCTGTATGGTTTCAAAAATCTGTAACTGTATTATTTCAAATCCGTATCTGTTTGATTTTAAAATCTGTTGGATATAGTTTCAAAATCTGTATATGGTTTCAAAAATCTGTAGCTGTACGGTTCCAAATTATGTAGCTGTATTATTTCAAAATCTGTTGAATATCGTTCCGAAATCTGTATGGTTTCAAAAATCTGTAATATGATTTTAAACTTTGTAGCTGTATGGTTCCAAAATCTGTAGCTGTACGGTTCCAAATTCTGTAGCTGTAATTTATTTCAAAATCTGTTGAATATCGTTTCGAAATCTGTATGGTTTCAAAAATCTGTAATATGATTTTTAGCTGTATGGTACCAAAATCTGTAGCTGTATATGGTTTCAAAATCTGTAGCTGTATTATTTCAAAATCCCGTATCTGTTTGATTTGAAAATCTGTTGGATATAGTTTCAAAATCTGTATATGGTTTCAAAAATCTGTAGCTGTATATATGGTTTCGAAATCTGTATATGGTTTGAAAAATCTGTAACTGTATATATGATTTCATAAATCTGCAGCTACACGATTTCAAAATCTATATAGCTGCGCATAAAATTGTACAGAATTTTGAAGATTTGGATCATATCGTATATAAATCCACAATATTTAGAAAGTTGTGATAAAATCACATGACTGCAATCTCAGTAACAGATTTATTATTCTCTAACTGTATCGGAGGTCCTTTCACTTAATGTTAAATTATGCAGCCAACAGTTTGTATTCGAAATTTCTGTTACAAAACCAAATCCTTCGAATTTATCAACTGTCAATTTAAACCAAAATCGATTTTGAAAAAGTCAGTTTGAACTACAAAAGGCAATATATGAAATACAAAAGTCAATTTGAAACAAATCTTTGAAAATGTTTTTACAAATGTCAGTTTGAGCTACAAATGGTAGTTTTCTATAAAAACTCGAATGCTTAAAATTTTTTTCAAAAACTACTTTTTTCGGTAATAATATTCAAATAATGCCAAAATACAAACAAATTGTCACGAGACACAAAATATTTCATTACTTAATCGACCAACTTAAGAAACAGAGTGAAAGTATATATAAATACATGAATGTTAAAATGAAAATTATGTGGGCTTAACTTCTTAATCTCCAACTTGGTGTAAGTACATACACACGAAAGACTCTGATTTCGTGCCGACGCAGCGCGAGTATATATAATGTTGATGTCAAGTTGAGATTATAAAGAAAATTAAAGTGCACGCAAACTGCAAATAATAGTTGCAAGAAATAAAGTCCGATGAACAAAATTTTGTACTTTCTATCATCACACATCAATCTCCTTTTTGATTATAAAGTTTTACTGCAAATATGCATTATCAGAAAAAAATTCCGTTTAACATAATAAAGCACACTCAACTTACTTTAAAAAAAAAAAAAAAAAACCCGCAAATTTACTAAATAGAAGTAGTTTTAAATGTCGTGGAAAAAAAAGGTGAAATAATTTTTGTGGCTTTCTTTATTAGATATCAAGGCTAATAACACAATTAACATGAAATGTTTGGCGTTGAATCAAAATTTGTTGAAACATTGCGAAAATCAGTGACCCGTTGGCAAACCTGAGGTTGGAAACCACGTGTCCTGACATGTTGCATAGGTAGACATACATATATGTATACAGTTTGCACATACCCAGGTATAGTGCACTCTGGGAGTGTATATATATATGTATGTATATATATATATATATATGTATTGGCTCACCTATAAAGCCACGCAGTGCTCGTTTCAAAATGGATGAAGCGTGCCGCTTAGTCCAATAATTACGTCCAACCATGAATGCTTCACCGAGAACATAACAAGGGAGATTTATATATGTACTTTTCCCTTTGGACGCGTGTTACTAAAAAGTAAAAAAGTCACTTTCTACAAAAGCGTATAAAATCATGTCATTATACACTTTATTATACATATAGAGATAAATATCTCACTTTTTTACCTATTGCAATTTTTGTTCTCAAAAAAAAAAAAATTCTGAATTTTTAATATATATTTAGTTTTATTTTTTCTTTAAAGATAAACGTGAAAATCTGAATTTGAAAACAGTATCTTTTTTAGGATTCTGTTTTAGAGAAAGATAGAAGAAATTAACGCTGGATAAATTTTGCGGGTAATTTTAACCAATGCTAATTCGCATATAGATGAACTGGAAAAATTGTATGGTCCAAAAAATCAAATGTTTCGTTATAGTACAACCAAACTTTGGTTAGTCTAACCAAATAATTCGGTTGGCACAACCAAAGTTTGGTTGTACCAAACATTTTTATAACAATAGGATAAAATTTGTTGTGCAGTTAATTTTTTTATAGCGATTTTGGGGTAAAATTTCTTTTTTTTCTATATGAAATATTAAAAAGCAATAAAAATTAATACAAAAAAATTTGGATTCAAATAATCCGTTACTTGAGTATTAGCCAAATAAATATATATTTACTCAGATCAAATAATTATATTTTTGGTACTAAATAATAGTTAATTTATTGAACTGAATAATTAATTTCTATAATTGAACCAATAATTTCTGTACTTGAAACAAATATACCATTTTAATTAACTCAATAATTATTTGATACAAATAAATATTCATTTATGATAATAAGTATATAACTGATTATTTGAATCAAATAAATTTTCCTTCTGTGTAAGAATTTAATTGTATTTTATGACCTAAAAATATTTTATATAAAGATATACTTTTTGTGGCATATTTATAGAGTCTTTTTTAGATAAAGATTTAAATATTTAGATGGATTTTTTAAATATCTTTGGTGGATTAAAACGTTGCATCTTCATTTTAATCGATTTTTGAAAATAATACTTGACAATTTCAGTTTTAAGATTAGGTTATAATTAAATTTCAGATTGTAAAATAATTTTTTTATTTTTTACTATATGTACTGAAAAATTAATGTTTCGTGATTAAAAATTAATTTCGTGACCGTTAACGTATTACATGCATTTTGCGGGATAAAATATATATATAAAGAACTTTTAATTCAGTAATTTATTATTAAAGTAAGTTTTAATAAATTATATTCCCTCTTAAATTGAAAATTAGTGAGAACTAGTTTACTATTTTAAATTAGTAAAAATTTCTACTAATTTTTAGTTATTTTTCACTAAAACTTTAGTAAAAAATATATCACTTAATCGAATACTGCTAATAATGATAATAATAATAGTAAAATTATACTAAAACAATATTTCTAATAATATACAGTACTAGTAATAATATATTACTAAAAATTTCTATTTATTTTTTAGTCATTTTTTACTAAAACTTTAATAAAAAAATATAACTAACTAAAAAACGTACTGCTAATAATAATAATAGTAATAGTAAAATAGTACTAAAATAGTACTAAAATAGTACTAAAATAGTACTAAACTTATAATAAAATAATACTACTATAATAATACTAAAGATTAGTGAAAATTTCTTCTTATTTTTTAGTAATGAAAAAATTTAGTAAAAAAATTATTACTAAATCGAATAATAATTCTTTACTAAAAATTAGTAGAAATTTTCATAAATTTGATATAGTAAACGAATTCTCTCTAATTCAAATTTAAAGAGTATACTAATTTTTTTTTCGCTAATATTTTTTTAAAAATGAAATTAACAACTACATAAATTTTAAACACATGTATACGTAAAAAATATACGCTCCAGTTCTTTGTTACAAATCGCAAATAAATATTGAATTTTTCATGTTTACAAGTTCATACAAATGAAATTTAAATATCTTTGATAATAATTACATATATATATATATATATATATATATATATATATATGTACTTAAAAGTTCAAATACATTTATATTATAAATATAATCATTAATGAACGGACAAATTTGTACTAGTTAGTCTTTCTTTCTCTCTTTTTTCATTAGCCAAGAGGCAAATTTAAATTTCGAATGTATATTGGCAATGCCTTTATAATGAACCGGTATTTTCAATGGTATGTAACAAACTGTATGTTTTGCGTCCATTGAAACCAGTCAAACAGAGTGTACGTAAGGGCTTGTAGAACTTGTAAACTTATCGTTAATGACTATCGAACGTCTGTACATTTTTATTATCTCCGGATGTATGGGCAAATGAGTGATAAGAAAAATGAATATACGTTAATGTATATATGACAAGAAAAAAAAAATTTTTTTTTTATAAGAGAATATAATAAGTAACAAAATGCCTTTTAAACCATATATCAACTTCATGTGCTTGATTATGTATATATATTTTATATATATAGTGAGAATTAAAATTTGTTTGTAATGATTTTGGTTGAAACATCCAAATTTTTGTTGAATTAACTAAATTTTGTTTGAAACAACTAAATTTTGCCTGTAACAACCAAATTTTTGTTGGATTAACTAAATTTTGTTTGAAACAATTAAATTTTGCCTGTAACAACCAAATTTTGGTTGAATTAACTAAATTTTGTTTGAAGCAATCAAATTTTTGTTTAATCAACCAAATTTTGCCTGTAACAACCAAATTTTGGTTGAATTAACTAAATTTTGTT